GTGATTAACCTTCGTGTAGGATAAGGACTACCCACTATGACTCAAATGCAGAGACAATAGAAGAAAAATAGTACACATGACTATATTTAAAATATTGTAATGAAATGCCTGCAATAAAAGTCTAGATAATGGACCAACAGGAAGAAAATATTTGCAACATATAGCACAGATAGCTAAAATTACTGATATATAGGAAATACTCAAAATTTGATAGAAATAGGGGAAAGGTGAAATTTAAATGAATCTTTTATGTACTTGTGTTTTATGTCTATATGCATATTATTCATGTGTGTATATTATACATACACACAAACACACATATTATATACATAAATGTATACCCCTTGAATATGTGAAAACAGTGGTGAAAAAAATTATGTTACCAATTCTCACCTATCTACCAGATTGGTGGGAAGTCAGTGATGGCTAAGCTAATGGAGGAAGCAGGCACTTTCATACATTACTGTGATGCAAACCTGCACAGCCATTCTGGAAAGGAATTTGCCTGTGCCTAAATAAATTATATAGCAATTTTCTTTTGACCCCAAATCTCATGACAAAATACATTGTGTCACTGATTTTGAGCAAAGGGGAGACAACAGAATAGACACTGGTGCAACCGTGACACCTGCCTTATAAAGCAGCAGCAGTCCATGGGCAGCAATCAGAAGCATAACATCCATACAAAAATCTCAATAAAAATCACTGTGTTGTGGGCCTCCCCTGGTGGCGGTGGCGCAGTGGTTGAGCTCTGGGCTGCTAGGCTGCCCGCAGCCTCTGCAGTGTCAGTTTGTTCCCCAGCCTCCTGTGAGGGTCCCACAAAAAAAAAAAAAAAAAAAAAAAAAAAGTCACTGTGTTGTAACAAGAAAGAGTGTCCGCATTAAGCTACCTTGTCATGTAAGGAAGGAGTGAAAATATACATGTATCTGTTCATTTGTGCAAAAAAAGGCACAGAAAAAGATAAACTGAGATTTGAGATTGGGACTGTGCAGAAAACAGGAAAGAAGGGGAAATGTGAGCACAGAAAGAAAATGGAATAGTAGTCACTTCTTTGGGTATCTCTTTTTGCACAATTTTGATGTAGAATTATGTTAATGCTTCACATGCTCAAAAATAAATAAATTATTATAATATTTTAAAATTGGGTCCCAGTTTAAAAAAAAAAAAAACTGGGACAAAGCAGTAAGTGCCACCCACAGCAGAGTCTCCTCCATCCAGGGTCAGCCAGACACTTCCGGATCAGTCTTCAGGGTGCCCTAGAACTATCCCTAGGCAAAAAGGACAGATCCTTTATCCAACAAATATATTTATTAGAGGCCTACTTTGGGGGCCGTTAGGCCCTGGGGATACAACTGCCACAGCTGACCAAGAGTCCTGGACTAGTCCCAGAGGGGTGTTGCTCTCAGGTTACACAAGTTACAGAAAGTGGGTTTCCTGCAAAAGCTTCCATGCCCATTAGCACCAGAATTGACTAGAAGTCCCCTGGTTGTGTGTCGAATTTTAAAGAGATAATTCCTTTGTTTTAGGAAAGTCTGAAAGAAATAGAGGGAGAAAAAGACTTTTGTTAACCGTGAATGGGAAAAGGTTCAATAAATATTGTGCACAAATTGTAAAAGTTAACACAGTGCAAGAAAATAATTTAAAAGTCTGCCTCCCCTGCAAGAATTGAATAAGATAAAAGGACTGAGCCTCCTCATTTCCTCAGTATGCTTAGAGAGTGGGTGCTCATCACATATTTGGGGACTGAGTATTGGTTTGAATGTTTTATTTTGTGATGGCCAACTCTATCTCATTTCAACACCAGAAATGACAACATCCTGACTCAAGAGCAACACACACACACACACACACACACACACACACAATGTGGGCGCATGCAGCTCCTAGTCCTGCTTAAGAGCTTAGGAACTTCCGACTTTTCCGCTCCCTCCTCGGGGCTGACACTCCTCGCCCCTCCCCGACACTCTGGCTAGAGGCCTGGTGGCCAGAGTTCTCCTTAGGCCGTGAGGGCGATCGCTATCGCTGTTCCAACTGACCCTGAAGGAGCGAGTTGGCGTTATTTGTTCCACTCTCCAGATGGGGACTCTCAGTGCGCCCTGGTGCTGGAGAGGGGAGCAAACTGAGGGGATGAAGGGTCGGGGATCCGAGCTGCTGCGGTGACTCCAAGCGAGCCAGGTCTGGGGAGAGTCGCGCGCCGAGAGCTGGGCGCTAGTAACGTGCGCTGGGGCGATTCCCCCACACCGTGGAAAGAACCCCTCTAGCTTAGCCTAAGTAACCCGGTAAGTGCCTCTTTCCAGGGTCCGCGGGAGGCTGCGCCCAGGGCTCCCTTTGCGTAATGAAGATCTTGGGAAGGCTTTCCACCTACAGAATCTCCTTTGATCCTTGCTACAAACTAGGTCAGAAAGGCAAGAGTGGGTATCTGGGAGCAGGATTTGAATTAAAGACTTCTGATGCCAAGTATCTCCCAAGGTCCCTTTCTTCTGTCACTGTACAGAGCTAGGCAGTCCGCGGCCATCTCCCAAGAACAGAGCGCTCACAGGTTTGCAGCTCAACGCTTTCATCTAGGGTCGCCCCCAAGCCAGCTGGGAAGGCGGGACCGAGTCTAGCTACTGGGACAGCCGGTGGGGCGCATCCTGGGAATGAAGATTGGAAATTTGCTTTTTCTGGATGTCAGGAATTGCTGAAAACACCAGCCTACAGGACATACGCTTTCACCTCTGAGGGAAGGAGGACAGGACAATACTGTTTTCCTAGGGAGGAGTGGGATGATTTATGAGCGGTAAAATATTTGATTTATTACTGGTTTTTTCCCCCACACATTTATCTTGAGGAAATGATCCAAAATGTTGACAAGGATGAAGGCACAAATATGTTCTCTGAAGCATTATTTACAGTGATGGAAAAAAATAGTTTATAAAAGTATAAACACAACCACAACATGGTCTATTATAGTGTGATTCAAAAACCTGTTTCCAAAACTCTTTAATGCAATTCTGCACATCGTTATGATGCAAAATTAAAATACACACACTTACATATATCCTATGAGCTCATGCAAAAAAAAAAAATAGAAGGGTGTGTGCTAAATGTTATCTCTGGATAGATTGTTGTTTCTTTTTTCCATTTTTTCCAAAGTGTGCATAGTGCCTTTTTACAATCACAAAATTAATGGATGAGCCACTGCAAGATTTTTACATCCCTGAAGGGGAAGCATGGCTATCTTTTTCAGGAAAGACATTAGGGTTGAGGAGAGAGTCCTGTTTTGGGAAAACAGGCGTGGCGCCTGCATTGACAAGCTGGGCCAAGATTTGAATGGCTTAACCTCTTTGATCCCAGCTCCTGCCTGAAAAAAAAGAAGCTAGAAATATTTGCAGTATAGGTTGTTTGTAAAGATTAAGTAATAAAGCATAAGAGAAATCATGACTTGACTTAACCATGAAACTTGACAAAATTTTGCACCCACTAGTTTGAGAGAATGTGTTTAGTTTAGCTGAGTTTCAGGAAAAATAATGCCCAGACCACTCTAGCAAAACTGAATTCACCTAAGGAGGTTTATTTAAGAAACATTTGCTCTGAATTCCCAAAAGGACTAGCAAAATCTCATTTTGATTAAAACTTTTTTAACTCTTAAAACTCTTCACTGGAAACTGCTCAGGCCGCCCCGTTTTCTTGATCCATGTAGCATGAATAATAAGTGCAGTGGATGTTCGTTAATGGTTTCCTGCACACTATCTCACTTAATTCTCAGGATCATCCTGCCACGGACTGTTCTTATCTCCATGCTAATGACAGCGAGCTGAGTTAGGTAAATGGTGTGTGCAGAGCCCACAGTTGCTAGACCCCAGACCAGGGATAGACCTGCCCACTCCGACTTGGCGTTCCTAACCCCTGCACCGCATTGCTCCCTTGACTCTGTGTGGGCTGTGTTAAAGGAGTCTTTCTGCAATCTAATGCTGGTCAAAATTTCCCACCCTTTGGAGAGCACCAAGTACTCTCTCTCTCTCTCTCTCTCTCTCTCTCTCTCTCTCTCTCTCTCTCTCTCTCTCTCTCTTTTACACTGCACAAAAATAACTATGGGGAGAAGAGGAAACAGAGAAGGAATTTAGGGGATCCTGTCCGACAGGACCCGGCAGGTGGGCAGAGACATTTCCTTGTCTCCCACCCAACCACTCCAGAAGCCTGTAAACAGGCTGGGGACCACCCCCCTTCATTAAAGTTCCCAACCCCCTTCTTGGCTCCCAGGGTTGAGAGGCTACTTGTGGGAAGTGGCGGATCCCGGGTCCTGAGACCCAGGCATGGGGCTAAGGGAGAATTTTCTGCCTCAGTCTAGACCCCCGTTCTTCCCCAGCGATGTAGCCTCACTTCGGGAAGAAGTCCCCGGTCGCCTGGCCCCACGTCGGTGCCCTCTAAGACTCCCGCGTGCACCTCAAATCCCGCAGGAGCCCAGCAGTCTCCCCTCAGGTTTCCTCTGCCTTAGGAGTGGACAGTTGAGCTAAGGTAGGCGGAGCAGGCGGATTGGGTCGCGTAGGGAACAGGCCTCCACCCCCACCCCTGTACCTCCACGACCGTCCTGCACCTCCCCCACCCCTGCACACCCCAGCGGACCCCAAGCTCGGTTTGTACTGTATTCGCCAAGATCTGAGCCGCGCCGCACAGTCTCTTCTTCTTCCCTTGCTTTTGAGGACCATCAACACGAACCAAGGCTCCCGGGCAGATGACGGGAGACGAAAGGAATTAGAAGGACCCGGGAAGAAAGCGCTCCGGGGGGGAAGGTAGCTGGCACGTGGTTTCTGCGTGAACCAATGGCGGCCTGCGATTTCATCGCTAGGTCCCGGTCACCCAGCGGGCAGGGATGGCCCAAAGGAAGGTGCAGGCAAGGGAGCTGGGCGTCCGTCCCAAAGCCTGGGTCGGCTGCATCCGTGGAGAGCAGACTGGAAGCTCCGGGCACCGCGCCTCGTGGAAACCCAGGACTCCCCACCCGCTCCCCCTCCGCATTCGGGATGCTTCTGAGCCCTGGCACCTCCACCCCCTTTTCGGTCAATGACATCCTAAGGTTGGAACTCGAGCAGATTGGGCCCCAGGTCTTGCCACTTCAGGGAGCGCGAGGCAGCCAAGAGAATTCTCAGTATTTGCGATTGAATCCAGAACCAGGAGGGTCAGAGTTTCACAACTGCGGTAGCAGCAGCAGCAGCAGCAACAGAAGGCAAGACCAGTCTGAACCCCCTGCATGTCCCGGTGGTGTAACAGAGATGAATGAGCAGCAGCCGGTGGGCGAGCCACGTGAGTATAAGCTCTGGGTCTTAGCTCCTACCTGGAGATGAAGGGGAGCAGCGCAAGGGACAAACGCTGTAGTTGGTGCATGAGGCAAACGCAACTCCTTGTCTTCTGACTCTGAGGTTTAGGCCCATCTTCCCTCACTGGAAAGTCCAAAAAACAGGCCTCTCAGCCTCTTCTATTGCCCTCTTCAGACACCCAGTGTACTTCACTCATCTCTAATGAAAATAAGGTCCTGAATCTAAGGGGTTCACTGTTGCCACAGCCTGTCCTCTGACTCCCACACAAATGCAGCGCCCATGCTTACAGTTCCCAGGAACCCCAGCTTCTCTTGCTTACAGTATCTTAGCAGCATCTCATCACTACCACCCTTCCCTGCCATTTCTGAGACTCTCTAAATTGTCCCCCAAAAGTGAAGCCACCAAAGGAGCTGGGCCCTTTGGAAGTCAATCCAGGCCAGCTCTTCCCTGGAGCTTGCAGAGAGACCTGGCTGGCCTAATCGTCCTTCTTTCTTACAAGGAGAAGTAGCAAGGTGACTTGGGGGAAGGGGTTGAGTCCCTGGGCTTGGAGGACCCTATGATGACCACCAGCATCCATCGCCTGGGAGCTTGGCAAGGGCTGCAAAGCTTTTGGCTGCTCAAAGAGGCAACTCTGGTGGGGTCCAGTATCCTGGTCTCCAACAGGAGCAACCTCCTGTGCTGTAGGAGAGGCCCAACCCTTGCGTCCCACTGGCTAGATGGGCATGGGTCAGTGGGGAGTGGTGTTCAGTTGACTCCAACAACCTGGGAAGCTTTGGCGGCAGAGACCTGGAAAAGACCTGGAAAAGTCTTATCCCACCAATCCTCTGTGCCTCCATCCGGAGCCTCCAGGCCAACTGCCCCCAGACCTCTCCAAGCATCTAGGGGTGGGTGGGTTGGGGCTTAGGGGGCCTTTCTCTCTGGCTATGCAGAGTCCCTCCATCCAAGGCACAAAATAACCAAATAAATGAAACAAAGAGGCTAGCTGCAGTTCAATCTTCTATTTTCAGGCCAGTTAGTTACTGGCTCCAGGAGCCTGGAGGATATTAAACTTTTCCTTGCCCTTGAAGAAGCCTGTGGAGTTTTTCTGCATCAGACTCTAAATACTGCGAGCCCCGGGCAGCTGAGCAGACAAATCCATTTTCAGTTGGGCACCAAGAAGGGTCCTGCTTCTCTAACCACAGTTCTCACCTCACAGCTAAACACTGATGGGAGAGCTTTCCCTTTCTGCTGGAAATCCCTGGCTTGTGTGTCCCCTATGGGGAGAAGGGGTAGCTCAGTGCTCAAAGAACCAAGCCCAGGCAGGGGAGCAGCGATCAATGCCAGGAGAGGACAGTCCTGAGGAACTCCAAACTCTGCAAGCTTCATCCTTTCTGATCCACCCACCTTGCTTTCAGGAATGCTGGGGAGAGTACTGCGACTAGGGGTACCAGAGGTTCTGGCCTGTGCTGGAGTGCAAAGCAGGCCCTCCCTTCTGCATCTTTGGCAACTTCAATTTGTTACAGGGTGTCACCGGAGGTCAGTTGTTACTTTTCTATTTGCAAGAAAAACCTCTGCAATATTTTTTTTTCCTCTTTGAGAGGCAACATGTCCTCAGTTTCTCTGTGTAGAGACTTTTCTGAAGGAAGATTTTATTTCTTTAAACTTTGAATACCAAATAGCCCCAGGAGACTATGCCAATGAGGATGGGGATTTGGAATCGTGTTCCAAGCTGGCTCTAATTAGGTTTGTCCTCCAGCCTTACCGAGAGCTTGCATCCCTTCCACATTTCTGGTTTTCTCCTGGCATGAGTTTTCATAAAAACGCAACGCCTCCTCTCCACCCACCCTTGGATTAATACAGTGCAAGTCAAAATAAGGAGCGGTGGGGACATAGGAAGAAGAAGCAGCATCTTGCAGGATTCCTGATTCTGGGACTGCATCGGCAGCTGGGGTCTCCGCCAGTTTTAACCCACCCACTCCAGGGCCCCAGGTGGTCCCCCAGGGGCTGCCCCCAGGGGAGAGGAAGTCAGAGCTAGGCCAATGGCCACCTGCTTTCCGGGAGATGCCACAGGAGCACAAGATGATTTTTTTAAAAAGCCAAATATGAATACCAATTTTATATGTTCCTCCTAGACAACTTCATTTTCTGGGCTCAGGAGTCAGAAAATATTTCATTTTGTTAATTTGGACTATAGTCTCACATCCATGGAAGGAGGAAATGATTCCCTGGGGCCGATGGAACACTTGAATACCCAAGACAAAGTTGTGTTTAAAGATAGGGTGAAGGTGGGGGACTCGCTCCTGGGTGTGGAACCCAGTACTCCATGATGGGCACAGGGCCACGAGGGGTAACCAGGCAAACAGGAATCTCCCAGCAAACAAGTCACCAATACCCTCACCCCCTCTCCTCCACACAGACCTCATTAAAAGTCAGCCCCCAGGTGACTGGTAAATCCCCACAGTCACACTTGATCCTTACAGCAAAAGCCTCCCCAAACTTGATTACACTCCGCGATTAGAATCATAGCGACCCGGCCTCCTACCCCCTCGCCTATACACACTCATCTAAAGAAGAAAATGAAACTGCCTTCGACTAGACCTAAAGTCTACCTTTTAGGACAGGACTGTACTCAGAAGCCTCGGAGTCACAATTTGCAAATGTGCCAGCAGGCACAAAGGCTACAAAGCTTGGGGTATGGGAACATTCAGACCCGCCTAGGACCTGGATGAGGGGTCAGCAGAAAGGCCAGCAGGGGCTCCGCTGAAGGCCAGCAGGGACTGTTGCTTTTTGAAGTGTAAGAATTGCTCAGGTGAGCTTTAAGGTGGGCGCTGACGATATTCCTTCCTGTGCTTTTAGAGCCTGGCCTTAGCGCAGCCTTGTCCCTCCCCGGCGGGACCGGGGTGCCCGAGCACTCGGATGGCACCAGCGGCGACGGCGCGCGGGGCGACCCCGCGGAGCAGCCGAGAGCGCGGCCCCGGCGGAAGCCGCGCGTGCTCTTTTCCCAGGCGCAGGTGCTGGAGCTGGAAAGGCGCTTCAAGCAGCAGCGGTACCTGTCGGCGCCCGAGCGAGAGCACCTGGCCAGCGCGCTGCAGCTCACGTCTACGCAAGTCAAGATCTGGTTCCAGAACCGGCGCTACAAGTGCAAGCGCCAGCGCCAGGACAAGTCTCTGGAACTGGCGGGCCATCCCCTAGCGCCGCGCCGGGTGGCGGTGCCCGTGCTGGTGCGGGATGGCAAGCCCTGCCTGGCCCCGGGCGCACCCGCCTTCCCGAGTCCCTACGGCGCAGTCGGGGCGCCGTACTCTTGCTGCGGCGGCTTTGCCAGCGCTTCGTACCGCGGGGGCTACAGCGGCAGCTACGCGGGCGCGCCCCCGGGACCTGCACAGCCTGCGCCTTTGGCCAGCGCCCGCTTCGGAGGAAGCAGTCAGAGCACCAGCCCCCAGGACCACCTGCCCGCCACGCTGCAGGGTGTCAGGGCCTGGTGAGGACCCTGGCTCAGGCTTTCTGCAAGGCCGGGAGCTTCGTTCGTCCAGCCTGGGCTTATGGGTCCCTGCGAGGGGTAAGGGGTTGCTGTAGTGGAGGGAACTGGCGATCCTAAGGCGAGTGTCTTCCCGTCGATCCTTCTGGGACTGCGAACTGCCGCCGTGGAGCCACCCCGCCGAAGGTCCTGGGGTCATTCTGCCCCGAGAGGCAAGCTGGGGACTACACCAGCCTCCCGCGGAGCAGTCGCTGCAAAGGGAAGGCGAGGTGGCTGCAGTGTCCTTATCCAGAGCAGTCCCAACGCCTCAAACCCAGAGAAGTCTTTTAATTTGTGGGCAGCAGTCGAAAAAAGGTATTGGGGGCTGAAGGAGGGGTGTTCTAGAGGACCTCGACCCTTCAATTAAAGGCCTGGGGGTGGGAGAGGGCTGAGAAAGACAGGAGGAATGACTAGGGGGTCGTAGAGCTGGGAATAGAATGACTGGGGGTCAGAAAGAGGCACAATTTGGGGAACCACATCCCCCTGGGGGGTTTAAAGTCCCCTACCCACCTCCAACAGATGCGTCCCGGGGTCTCAGCATTAACCCGATGGAGCACCCTTTCCTGGAGCCACAATTGCTCTCGGGAAGGTAAACTCCTCACATCCTGGCTCTCCGCTTCCCTGTCACTGCATTTCATCTCCTGTATGCACTTCAGCATCTGAGTAAATACACTAAATATACTTGTGCGTGCTTGCGTGTGTGGTTCATTAGAATTTATCCACTCCTCTCTTGCTTGCTCTAAACAACTTCAAATTAACGTAAAAGTGAAACCCAGATGTTCTGAGATCTCAGCGTACAAAGGATTCCTTAGGAAGCAAAGGGGACCCCACCAGAAGAGGGTTACCTGATTTCTTCTCTACTCCTTCCCCTTTTAGATTCTTTCAGAACACAATGGGTTTCTAAATTTCGCTTCAGGAAAGGAGGCCCCCAGGTTGCCATAAATCCTAAAGTTAAGGATAAGAAGACTGAACTTAGGGGGAAACTTAGGGGAACATTGACACCCTGCCCCAAAATGTCAGAAGTCATGAAAACTGAAGATTGAAAAGAAACTAATTTTATTAATGGGAGCTCAGGGTCAAAGGGGAAATTTGTCTTTGGCAGCACCTAATAGGAAAATTGGGGTTCCTGCTGTTTCCTGCGTTGTATTTTTAAACAGCAGAAGTTCTGCCACTTCGACCCCTAGATCATTAACTTGTCAAAAGTTAAATTTTGTTACTCAATAAATTATAATATTTAATTAAAATGTACTGGACCTGCATTTTCTCATTTCTAAATATGCCCTGGTGTGGTAAACAGAGGCTGCTTGGTTCTATGTAAAGTAGACCTGACTATCAACACCTTCTACCTCTTAAAGTTTACGTGTTTAGAGAAAAGAGTAGTTGTTCATATTTTCCTTATTACCATTTCCTTAGATTTTTCTCTTAATTTTCATCCTTTCGTTACTCCATTTTCACTGTTTATAGAACTGCATTTAGAAATGCAATCAGTGCTGTGCCCTGAGATTTAAAAATTATGTATATCTTAAATTTGGAAATACGAATATCTATTGACTGGTCAATAAAATGAAAATTAATAAATAGAGACTACAGTTAAAATCACCTTCATAAGTAAAGTGTCCTCATCCTTCTTTCACATTGGGGCAGATGCCTGACAAGAAGTTACCCCAGGACTGGTGGTAGATTCATGACAGTGGGTTTTAGTTCAGCGCTGCCACCAAGGAACCATCTGCCTGACGCTCAGTGGTTAAGTGAGTTGTATTCAATTTTTCCAAGATCAGATTCTAAAATACTAGAGGTTAAGTTTTTAACATCCTTTGTTCTTTGGATAAGGAAATTCTTTATGCTAGAAATGTAGATCATTGTGTTCACAAAATGTTTGGCACCAAGTAGGAACTTAATAAATGCTATTTCCTTCACTCTCTACCCACTTTTGATACAGAAAAGGAACCGAAGAAGCAGTTGCCAGATAAGTGATGTTCTGAATAGGCCCAGCCTCCCATGATCTTTGCAGTATGCGGGAAAGCACTGGCGGAGGAGCCACGGCTGTGTGGAGGCCAAGTGAAGGGGAAAGAGGCTGAGCCAACTACATTAGTTGAAGGTTCCCAGGAGTGTCACAAGAGAAAATAAGATTTAACAGCCGTTCTTAAGGAATTTATTATCTAATTGGACACCAGAGACTAACGGGAGAAAGCATATAAAAATGTAAAGAGGTGTATGTTGGTGTCAAATGGGACAGATAATAAGCTCTCTCTAAAAAGAAACAAAGCCCAGTGTGAGCCAGGTGCTTAGAGAGGGTACCTAGAGAAGGTGGATTAAACCTGGTGAGTGTGGGAATCACACTAACCCAGAACTATTTACTGGGAGAAGTTTCGGGAAATGTCTAGAACTTTTGGAGAAATGTAAATGGCATGTGCAAGTCAAGGGTTGTTTCTGGGCATTGGTAAAGTGCTTGTAGTTGGCTGAAGGGGTGTGAAAATTGGGAGGAGGTGTTGCTCTATCTCACATATACCCAAGGTCCTAGATGCTCTGCTAACCTGGGGCACTTTCTGTTTTGCTCTCAAATTGCTGTACCCTCCATATTTATTGGTAAAACAACAACCACAACTGAACTAACAACAACAAAAAAGAACCTTGTCCCCATGTAATTCATGTGGTGTTTTCTTCAGGCAATAGCACAAAAAGCCTGGGACACAGCACACCAATTTCTTTCCAAAAGGCAAAGAGAGCAAAGGAAAATTCTTTTTTCCCATCTCCCCATTCTCTGCCTGTCAGGATCACTTAGAAACACATCCTTCTCCCAGCTCACCAGGCCCACCCCCAGCTGCCCATCTTCGCCCTGTAATCTTTCCTTTGCACTGAAAGCTGCCCCTTCTTTGTGTGCTTACTCACCACAGCTTATCCTGGAAGGGGCTTTCACCAGGGAGCTGTTCTAAGCCATCAGCCCCTTATCTACATCATTCAGGCCCGTCACTCCAGTCACCTCTTAATGTTCACAAGTTCCCCAAATGGGAAGTAATTGACCTCTAAACAAAACAAAAAAAGCTCTCAGAGAGATAGCACAAGTTCCTTTCCCAACTGTCCAGGGCGCGGGGGCTCACCTAGGCCAGGTGGATAAGTCAATAAAATTGCAGACTTCCTGGCTCCCTGTCCTTCCTCTCCCCCTCCCAGCCCCTTCCAGCAGCTTCATCCCGATACCATCTGCAAATCAGATGGAGCAAGAGTCTGTCTCACTCTAGATCTCAGTTGCCAGAGAATTCTGGTATTTGTTTTTTGTAAATTTTCTCAAGAATACGTAACTTGGAGGGGATACATCCGAATCCTTCTAAATACCATTTGAAAAGTGTTTACAGTCTTCAGTGTTTATGCCAGTTCTTTATTATATCAGTCTGGTCTGCTTACTTATCCTTTTTTCTTTTTCACAAAACAATGGAACTCCCACCTTCCCATAAAGAATCCTCTTCAGAGAGAGGGAAGGGACAAAGGAACACTGAGTTAGGAGTTGTAGACCCTGTTCTCCAGTTAGACTAGGGACCCACTGTGTGACCTAGAGCAAGGCTGTAACCTATCTGGGCTCTGGTGTCTTTATTTGTAAAATTTGCAAAATCGAGGAGATGAATCTCTGAGGCTATTTTTCTAATTTGAGGTGGTGCCCCGCTGATTTCAGATGCTTTTTTTTTTTTTCTTTCAGAGTGTAGGCTAGATTGTATATCCTGGAGACATAAAACATATCCTTGCAGTTTACAGAGTAACTGCAAAGTAAACACAGATGTAACCCCCTCTCAAGGCAATAACAGGGGGCACTAGCTCCCCAGCAGCCCTACTTCCCATACCCCTCCCAGAATGCAAACCCCTGCCCTCCTTCCTTCCCCAAGGAGATAGCAGCTATTCCAACTCCGTGATAATAATTTACAGCTTCTCTTTATGGGCTTACCCATATGGACATTTCCCTTAGCAATATGGTTTAATTTTACTTGATCTGGATGTTACATAAATAGAATCGTACCGCATGTATTCTTTGTGACTTACTTCTTTTATTCCACTTGAGACTTATCCATGCTGTTGTATTTAGTTGGTTTTAGTTGGCTCAATTTCATTCTGCATTGTACCCCCATTGAATGCAAGTACCTCAATAGATGTATTTACTGAAAATGGAGCTAATTTCCCCCTGAGCACCAGCACAAAGAATGCTGCTGGTCAGACCACCCCTCACAGGTCTACCTGTGCTCTGGCTGGAGTTTGTCCTGGCCTCTAAGCTCTGTCTTGCAAGGCAAGATACAACCTTGGACAAATTTCCTATTTATGCAAAAAAAATAGCACTTACACTGGTCCGCCCTTTGGACTTTTGTATATCCTCTGTGCTCACAACCTCCCTGTGAGGCATTTTGTTCCCATTCACAGAACAGCCTGAGGGTCAGACAGGTGACAGCGCAATGTGAGCTAGTGACAGGCCAGACTAGACTCCATCCTTGGGTTGCATCTCCTGATTCTCAACAAGGAGTTCAAGTCCTCACCCATACCAGGGGGCTATTGAGAGACACGGTTTTCTTTTGTTGCCAGGGAAAATCCCTAAACATCTTGGGAGCCTTTGGGAAAAAGGGATAAATATGAAGCAAGATGCCAAAGAGGAGGAGGGTGGGGGTAGGAGAGACAGGACTGTGTGACTCTGTCTTCAGACATTATAAGCAAATAATACTTAAAATTCTGTTTGCTTTCCCTTTGCCCATACTTCCTCCTGCATTTTGAACCCTGGGAGATGCTGACGCATGCTTTCAGAGGGCCAACTTCTGAAGAGTGTGGCGAATTCAGCCCTGAGCTGTTTCTCTTTGCAGCTCCACCTCCCCCCACCTCCCCACAGCAGGAGAGAGCTTCCTGGGAAGTCACTCTCTTCCTCTCTGACTCTCTGTTTAGACTCCAGCAAGTTCCCCCACCCTCATACTGAGAGAAGGATGTGGTCTTAGTGACAGAGTCCAGATTCCACTGTGAGAAAAGCAAAGATATGCCCAGCAGCCCTGGCTGCAGACCTGAGTGCTTCCTAACTTTGTCCCTGTGGGGCCGTCCCTACAAGCTGGCCTCAGTCAAATCTGCTTCCTTACCACCCATGCCTCAATTACTCCTCCAACTTCCTGTCACTAGCCCAGCATGATTGCCTGAAACCTAAGGGTACAGGAAATTGGAATCCTAAATCAGGATTTTAGTGAGACAAAGGCAAACCTTGGCTCCTGTCTCCAGTCCTGCTTTGAACCCCCAATGCCTCCCCAGGACCCTACCTCCCCAAGGCCAGGTCCCTGGTACCTGCCCCCAAGCACTGTGCATTCCTCCATCATAATGCATTTGCCCTCCTTGTTTATAATCCCTCCTAAACCATCAGCTTCGTGTCTGTTTCACATTCTAGTCTATTTCCAGCACACCCTGTCACTGTCAGAGTAGGGACTCCATGACTTCAAATGACTGGTTGCCGTTTGGCTTCCTGTACTGTTTGCACTAATATCTGCATTAAAGACCCAGACTCTGACCTCATTCCTCAGTAGTCAGAATTCTCTAGAGGAAACTCAGCCTATGTGTGGTAGGGATCTGGCTCCTGGCAGGGGTCGTCAGAGCCTTGATATCAGGGACCCAAAGAATACCTTTGGGTCATGGTGAAAAAAGAATTCTTCTGTTTTATTCTTCTAGCCTTTCTCCAATAGGTCAACTTTAATAAGTTGTCAATGAACAGTTAGTTGAGCATTGTGGGGGAACATAATACCAGCATAACATTTTCAAAAAGATTCATAGGACCAGAGAGACACAGGATGCATTAGAGTCCTTGTCTTCAACAAGGTTAGAAAACAATGGGCCAGGGGCCTTTCTGGTGGCACAGGGGTTAAAGTTTCAGTGCTGTCAAACTATCACCAGTCCCTGTGGCTTGAGTTTCATCCCTAGCCAGGAGGCTAACCCACATGGTGCAGCAGACCAATCCTGTCTTGCCCACTGCTCCCCTCAGCAGTATATTTCAGTGGATCTGTCTGTTCTGCCCCCACTGTGTCTCTGGTGAATCATCTCATGCCCCATACCTCTGGTCTAGACCCCAGTTCTTATACGCATACATAAAAATAAATATTAAAGAGAAAACAGTGGGCCAGACCAACACTTCTGCACCAACTACAGGGAATACCAGAGAATGTTTGCTGTATGCATATAAGTCATTAGATCATTGAATGTCTAAACTCAGAGTTCCCACCCAGAAGATGCTTTTAAACTGGAGAAATGTGGCAGACCTCCAGCTATCATCCAATGCCCATTTCCCTCTTTCTCTTCAATAACTCAAGAGTTTTAGTTAAGCACACAGCCTTCTAGCTAACTTATCTTTCCCAGACTCATTTGCATCTAGGGGTACCAAAGTAACTAAATTCTGACTCAGGGAATGTAAGCAAAAGTGATGTGTGCCACTGCCAGGATGTAGTGTTCAATGGTATGGACCTTTCCTCCACTTCTCTTCTCTTCCTGCTGCTGGCTGGATTATAGGGATTACAGATGAAATGGCAGGAGCAGTTGTAGCTATCTTAGATTATGACAGAGCAATGACATGGAAGGATTCTAGTTCTCCAGGACTATGAAATCATTTTATTAGTTTTACTCTGAGTATTATATGAGAGAAAAAACAACACTTGTGTTGTTTAAGCCACCATTATTTTGGCCTTTGTTAGAGCAGCTGAACATGTATCTCAACTGGTAAAGGATGCAGGCAACTAGAAGACCAGTCAGTGCAAGTACAACAGATGTTGAGAGGAGAATAAATCAAACCAAGTGATCCAGGAAAACATCATAATAGAGAAGAAGTTTGGCAGGTTGGGGATGTATGATTTTCCAGTCATAAAATCAATAAGTTACCTAAATGTAGTACACAGTGTGGGGTCCTTAAGCATTAATATAGTGTCACAAAATTGAAAAACTGCTAAGAATAGATGAGAAGTAGATTTGTGGTGGGATCACCCTGCACGGTACACAAATGTCAACTTATTACATGCACAGCTGGAATGATATAATGCTGTATGTCAGTTACACTTCAAGAAAAAATTGAGAAAGAGAAAGGCTGGAGGGAAGTGGGAGGAGAGAGAGAGAGAGAGAGAGAGAGAAGCTTGAGACAAGTCCCTTGAGGGGTGTATGCATTTGGAAGGGTGACTGGGAAGACTGGAACTCTGCTAGGATGTGGAGAGGAACCTGGAACATAGTGTGTGTGAGCCTGAGCTTGCAGGAACAACATTGAAAGCAGCAGTCTGGATGGTGCCACCAGCACGGTTTTCAACTTGTCTGCCCTGTCCCAGCTGATGTCGTCTATTCTGGTGACATTCTACCATTTCGATGCAAGTAACTCTCACATCCCATACCTACAGCTGCAGCTTGATTCTCCACCCAGAATCCCAGATCCAAAGGTCTGTTATTTCCTGGACATCTTCATGGGCGTGTTTCCCAGACACCTCACCTAAAGCCCAGCTCATCTCTCTCCGCCTTCCCCACTTCACCTTGTATACTCCCTCTCTTGTGCAAGCTGCTCCAGCCTACCTGCACCCCTGCTGACACTCCAGTGCCCCATTTCTCTCACCTGTCTCCCTTGCCTACCTAACTTTAGGTTCCCACTGCTGCGCTCTAGGTTCACATCATCATCTCTCACTTGACCACAGCAGTTACCTTCTAACTGTTCTCCCTGCCTCCACTCTCTTTTCTCCAGGCCATTTCTCCTTGCTGCTGTGGGATTTAAAACAAAACAAAAGAACAGGCCTCCCTGGTGACGCAGCAGGTTGAGCACTGCACTGTGAAGCTGTCCGCAGCATCTGCCAGGGAGCAACCCACATGGCATGGCAGACCTCTCCTGACTCGCCCGCTGCTCACCTCAGCAGTGTATTTCAATAGATCTGCCTGTTCTGCTCCCTGCTCTGTCTCTGGTGAGGCCTCTCACCCTCCTGCATCTCTGGCCTCTATACCCCAGTTCCTATATAAATAAACAAATCTTTAAAAAACAAAACGAAACATAATTTCTTGATGAAGACATTTTCAAAACACAATCCACATTCTTTAACCCAATTCACTTAACATGAGTCACCGTAATTCAACTCTTACCTACATTTCTAGACTCATTTCTAGGTTCTTCCATGTGCTTTCTATCAGGCAGTAAAGGATGCTGGCTCTCCTAAGCACCCTAAATGCAGTTTCTCTTCTTGCCCCTGAGGCCTAGCTCAGAAACCACCTCCAGAAGACGCCCTCCCTGAGCTTCCGGGTCAGGATTTTCTACTCCTGCAGCTCATGGTTTATTCCCTGCTATAGCACAAATTTCGCCTCTGCATTCTAGTTGATCATTTCTCCACTTGCTCCCCAGTAAGAGCATAAGCCTCTTGGTGAGGAAATCAACTTAACCCTATTTCTTTATTTTTATAGATTTTACTGAAATTTCACATATAGAGAAAAGTGCACAACATAGACAGCTAAATTAAATTTCATGAAGTGATTTTCTCTGGCAATCACCACCCAGATCAAGAAACAGAATGTCAAGATGCGCCCCCCAGAAGCTCCCTTTTACCCCCTTTCTGTCACCCTCTCCAAAGGGAACTACTAGCTTGACTTTTTTTAAAAGATTTGTTTTTATCTATTTATGCATTCAAGAACAGGGGTATAGGCCAGAGGTATGTGGGGGGAGTGGTGGTAAGAGGATTCTCCAAAGACAGAGTGGGGAGCAGAACAGGCAGATCTGCTGAAATATACTGCTGAGGGGAGCAGCGGGCGGGTCAGGAGAGGTCTGCTGCACCATGTGGGTAGCTCCCTGATGGGGGATCAAACTCATGCCACTGTGGCTGTTGATAGTTTGATAGTGCTGAGACTTTAAACCCTGCACCACCACCAGGGAGGTGCACTAGTTTGACTTCTAAAACCATAGTTTAAGCCTGCCTGGTTTTGAACTTTATAATAGTGCAATCAAGTATATATTCTATTGTCTGGCTTCCTTCACTCAACATTATGTTTGTGAGCTGCATTTGTGTCATTGTGCGCAGTCACAATTTCCTTCATTCTTACTCAGCTGCTCAGTTTTCTATGGTGTGAACATACCGACACAGGCTTATCTCCCCTACTGTGTTTGCACACGGGGCTGCTTTGATTTGGGGCAATAATCATCAGTGCTGCTGTAAACGTTCTTGTGTATGTCTTTTGGTGATAAATGAGCACACTTTTGTTGGGTGTATGCTGGACGAGGACAGTCTGCATTAGGAAGTATACATGCGGCCAGTTTCAGTCATGTTTTCAACTCTACTCTGAATGACCTCATTGCCCCATCTTCTCACCACCCCTTGTCAGTTTTCTTTTTACTGCTCCCTTTTCCACTTCCTTGCCAGAACATGGCAATAAGGAGGGCATGGAGCGCTCCATGGGGTTTTTTTTCTAATGGTGTGGTTGAGAGGAAGCACTGGAGGAGCAGCAGGAGACAGGCCAAAGAGGTGCCTTGTGGGTAGTGAAAAAAGACCAGTGTCTATTAAGCTCACTAAGCATTCAAGACTACCACAGTTGCTTGCTAAATTCTGGTATCCAAGGAGTCCAACAAGATTCCAAATTAGACCCTAAGTCTCAGTGGTTTAAGAAATATATCCAAAATCACCACCACTAAAGATGAAGGGAGAAGTTGAGTCTCCAAATCTCACTTACTTTCTACTATATTCTGTTGTTGGTCCATAGGCACTTCAGGCTGCTGTTCCTTATTATTATTTAGCTACCTAAATGAGCATTTGTATTTGCAAATGATCAAGCCTCCAACATACGTGTGTTCTTCGCATATCTCACCGATATGATCCTGATATCACCGTCACCAACTCAGAGTCATCAGGGACCTAATTGAACGCCTTCAGATGTTTAAAATGTAAAAGATCACAGAGATTCCAGGGGGCTCTGCCCCCACCAGAGACATCTGTATTCCAAGTCTTGTAAGCACATTACATGTAACCAGAAAACATTCGTGTTGGAGATAATAGAACCTATAAAGTGACTTGCAGCCATAGATTGCAGGACTTAAACTGCCCACTAGGGGACACCATTGCCTCCAGTTTCCCACTATGAGGCGTCTGGGGAGGTCTGAAAGGAATTCTGCGACTTCCTTAGTCCTCCACCCAAGGCCACCAATTTGGTTTTGAGCAATATTTCAGATTGGTTTTTCAGGTCAAATCCTTTGCCTTGCTATTTGGATATTGACAATTGGGAGTGGACAGAAGAAGACAGTGTGATAAATATTAATGATAAATATTAATGATAAATATTAATGATAATGATGCTGGTGGCTAAGAGATCCATGAGGCGCTTTCCAGTACACAAACATATCATTTAAGGTATTGTTCTCACATAGCTAAAGAAACTAAGGAGAGTAAGGGACTTAGCTAAGGGTAGGCGACCTATGTTAGGATCAGAATATAGACCCACTGGCCCTGTTTACAAATCCTCCCTCAGGTTTGAACTTGTGTAGCTAAAATATAATTGTCTGGATTTAGAATACTAACTCTGAAGGGTTGGTAAAGCAAACATTGCTAGTAAATTAGACTGCAATTTTCAGATTGGAATGCCACAGTGCCTCCTGGTTCTGGACACCTTCCTCTCCCTGGCACAGCCTATCTCCATGCCTTCCAGATTATTCTCTACTTCCCTTCTTCCTCTGTCCCCCTCTTCCACAACTCCGTCCAAAGAGGGGAAGCTGAATAAATGTAAGAACGGGATGGAAATTTTTGTTATGTCAAAGCATTTCAGACATCAGGGTGCAGCAGCAGGGTCTAGAAGTATCTTCAAGCCCCTCCCCCTCCAGCGCCTGGGCCATCTCCCTTATGAACTGCGAGAATACTGCCATGGTCTTGCCTGAGTCCCTCCCACAGGGCCAGGTTACCTCTGACCAAAGGCGAAGCCCTGGCTGAGTGATTCCTCCCCTGCCCAGCGGGCTGTGATTATACTGTCCTAAATAATTTTCAGGAAAGAGTCAGTCAAAGAAACCCTATTCTGTAGGTCTGGAAGAAAGCAGTTTTCTTTGTGGGTAGCCTCTCTGGGCCCCCAGGCCCTGCATAGTCACAGGGGTCAGTAGAACTCTCTGGGGAGTCAAGCAGAGTCATAGCTCCCAACCCATCACCAAGTGAGTGAGGACATGTCCTCACCACCTCCATCCCCAGAAGTTGGCTCTATCCCTTCTCAGATGGTCACCACCCTGGATACCATCCCTCTGGAACATAATGAGTCTATCATAACCTGCTCAGCTTTGGGGGTGGGGTGAGGGTGGGGGTAAGAGCAGGAGGGAGAGTGTGAGGGCAGGTCTCAAATTGCTTCTGTCAGCCAAAGTGGTATGGGAAGCTCAGAGTTTCCCCCTCGACAAACAGCCCCCCGCTTGTGTCCCTGTGCGGCCTCTGTTAAGCTGTTGAGCAGACCAGGCGTGGAGGGAGTGGGCCACCCAGCTAGAGCACAGGGAAGCTTGGGCAGAGGCAGGCGAGCAACCTGGGGGTCTCCAGCATCAGGAAGCCCCAGAGGGGGGCAGAGGGGAGGTGAGGGGCACCCTTAGCAAATATTTTTGGGTTCCTATTGCCCAATAAATCTCCCCCTGTGACTTAAGTGATGAGGACACATGAGGGGCATAATGAGGCTGAGTTATTATCTGTGACAAGATTCCCCCAAATCCTACCCCTCTTGCCATACAGAGAGGCCTGCAAACCGGCATAAACAATTAAAGTGAAGGAACAGACTTTTTCAAAAGGTCTTGGGATGGAGAGAGGGAGGCCTTTGGGCACAGATGGGATTTGAAACATGAACGGGTTTCTGAGTGAGTCAAAGGGCACAGGAACACACAAGGTCCAGAGCCCCTCAGAGAGAAGACAACAGGTCACGTGGTCTGTAGTGGCCTCCCCCACTTCACACAGCATCCTCCACCTCACAGAGCTGCTCCAGCCTCAGCTCCTTGTTGCTCAAGGGTTCTCTGGGGGCCTTGAACCAACAGCACTGTCATCACTCCTCACTAGGGAGCTTATTAGAAATGCCAAACGTCTGAGAGCAGTGGTTTTCCTGGGCCTGGAGGGCTGCCCTCCAGCTGTTCTCTTGTGCCAAGTTTCTCAGGTCCTGCTGTTCTGCACTCTGCCAACCACCGGTTGGAAAAGTCTGACTAATTCACACCATTATGTAAATAGCTGCGGAAACTTAACGTGTCACCCAATGCACATAGCATTTCACATTAACACATGACAGGAATTTTAATCCAGATGCCTTATGGGAAAATGGAGGGCACAGAGTCCTATTCCAGGGGAGGCAAAGCCTTTGAGCCACGCTGGAGGGCAGGTGCCCACAATGCAGGCCAGTCTTGTGAGGGTGGTTTCATCCATCCTCTTGTCCCTCTTTTTTGATGGCTCTGCCTATCCTGTTCCCAAGGGAGGAGAGAAGCACACTGGAGATAGGTGGGGTGGAAGGATGTTAGCTGATGGAATGGAAAGGTATTTGGGCTGGGGGTGGTGGGGAGTATGAGACTTGACTTCTAATTATAATTCTGCAGTCTTTGTAAACCTCAGCTTCTTTCCTGGAAAACCAAGAAATTTTTTGATTATTCCAATTTCCCTTCTAGCTGTCCTTTGATCTATTATAGTTGGCTTCTAAAATATGCAGTGGAAAAACATGTAAGTGCTTATGACATAAATAATTGGGAGGGAAAGATAGAATAAAAAATTATACTTCTAATCAGAGCTGAAGACTAGAAGGAAATATGTAAAGAAAAATTTAATGTATAAAACTGCAATGAGTACATGAGATTGTGGGTCTAAACACAAATTTTAACTTCAAAAAAGGAACAAGGTTTATATTCATATGATCAAGACAGAACTGATAAGTTTTTCTTATCATTTCTGAATCCTTTAATAAATGTTGTCCATGCTCATTTCTTATTGGCTTTGTGACAAATGCACAAAATTAGTGGCTGAAAACACGAATTCATCATCCAATAGTTCTAGATGTCAGAAATTCATAAAGAGTTTTATTAGGTGAATCTCAAGTAGTCAGCAGGTTTCTAGAATGAGGCTTAGGTGAGACTCCATTTCTTACCCTTTTTAGCTTCAAGAAGCCACCGTGTTCCTAGGCTCACTCCTCTGTATCTGCTCATCTTCAAAGTCAGCAAAGGCCGGATGACCAGATATACCGTATTAACAGACCTCAAAAGTGACCTGAACACAGAATACTAGTCACCTGTCAACAGTTCTGGACAGCACTGACCAGTAGTGCTGGTCAGTAGGCAGCAGTGTAAGTTACACCAGCGTTACAGCTCTTTGTGACCTGTTGTCCCACACCAACAACAAATAGCCTGGGGCCTTTGGTGCTCCTTTCAGGCAATGCTAGAGACAGACTGGAGGTAGGTGTGGTTGCCCCTGGCCTCCGCAAAGCTCTTTTGACTTCTCTGCAAAGCTTTTTGGCTTCTCTTCTTCCTTTGAAGGCTGGCTGCTGAATTCTTTCTTCTTCAGAGGTCAGGAACAGAGTGAGTCAGAGGGTGCATCCCAAGCTGGCACACGCCCAGTTTTATATTCTCTTTCAGGTGTTCCCCACCTACTAGTCTGATTGGACCATTTTCAATGCTATGGCTGTTTGGGCCATAGCACCAATGAGCGCATAGTTCACACCTGATTGGTCCATTCTATGATCTGGGCACCAAATCCTCCAGGCCTCTCTACTGCTGTAGCTAGAGGAAGCCACAGCAATGGAGCTGACCCAGTGGGACCCACGCTCTTCCTGCAGCCCTGACCTAGGGGTTGCCTGTCCTGGGGAGGGGTGTGTGTGGTAGGGGAACGATGTCACTGCTATCCCTGCCTGAAGCCTGAGCCCCAGTAGGGCCACTGGTAGAGGGTGGTGGTAAAATGCCCACTACCAGCTGCCACTTACACTGCCTGCAAGTAGGGCTCTGGGGGACTTACAGATAAGTTCTGTAAGTTAAAATGCAAAATATGATAGAGATAACTTCTAACTATTTATTTTACACAACAGGTTCATTCTACAACCTTTTTTTGCAACTTGAATCAGTCTCTGACCAAATTGAGAATATGAGTGAGTAAATTGTGTCTGTATATTTTAGGCTAAATCTCTAAGCTTGGAATATCTGTATCAAAGGATATGTCCATTTTTAATTTTGACAGATGATAGGTTGTCATCCAAATATCCACACTTGATTCACTCTTCCTCCATCAGTGTAAGAGATATTGTTCCCCCACACCCCCACCAACACTGGATATTATCCATCTTTTTAACCTCTACCATTCTGATAGGTAGAAAAGGGGTACCTCAATGTGGTTTTGATTTGCATTTCTCTAATGATGAGTGTGGTTAAACTTTTTCTTTATGTACCAGTGCATGTTTTAAATCTTTAAGCCATCTGGGATTTATTTTGTTATAAGAATAGGACTTTATGTGTTCCAAATGGCAGTACTAGTTATTAAATAATTCACATTTTCCCCACTGATTTGAAATACCACCCAGTATTTCAACTAAAACCTTACACCATATACAAAAAGTAATTCAGAAAGGATTATGACTTTAAAAATAAAATATAAATCTTTTAGAAGCTAGCACAAGAGAACGTCTTCAGTAACTAGGCATAAATAGAGTTCTCAGCCATGACCCCAAGAACAAAATCTATAAAATAAAAAAATAATTTTAACATCACCAATTTTAAAAATTTTGTGCTTGAAAATATACTTTTAAAAAGAGGAAAAGACAAGCTACACACCAGAAGAAAGTATTTGCAAACCATATATTCAACAAAGGCTGATATAGAGCATATCAAAATTCAACAGCCAAAAAAAATCCAATTATATTATGGGCAAAAGATTTGAACAGATATTTCACAAAGAAGAGATATAGATGGTAAAAAACACGTGAAAAGATACTCAATATTCGGTCTCCCTGATGGCCTAGGGGCTCGCTATTACCAGGAAGGTTTGAGTTCAATCCCTCGCCAGGGAGCCAATACACGTGGCTCAGCAGACCTCTCCTGTCTCACTTGCTGCTCCCCTCAGCAGTGTATTTCAGTAGATCTGCCTGTTCTGTCTCTAGTGAATCCTCTCACCCTTGACAGCTCTGCCCTACATCCCAGTTCTTCTAAGCAAAAATAAATAAACATTAAAAAGATAACATCATTAGCCACTTGGGAAATACAACATAGAATTTAAAATTACAATGAGACATGGGCCTCCCCGGTGGCGCAGCGGTTGAGTGCTGGGTTGCGAAGCTGCCCGCAGCCTCTGCAGCGCCGGTTCCATCCCCGGCTGCTCCCCGGCCACCAGAGGAGGGTCCCACATGGCGCACAGGCCTCTCCTGCCGCCCGCTGCTCCCCTCAGCAGTGTACTTTGGTCCTTCTGCCTGCTCTGCTCTCCGCTCTGGCTCTGGTGAATTTTCTCACCCTCCCGTGCTTCTGACTGTACCCAGTGCTTGTATAAATAAATAAATAAATAAATCTTTAAAAAAATTACAATGAGACATTACATACCTGTTAGCATGGCTAAAATAATAATAAAAAAAACAGTGATGATTCCCAATACCAATGCATATATGGATATATGGAGACCTAAGATGGTCCAACCATCTGGACAGTTACAAAACTCAACTGCAGTTGCCATACTACCCAGCGATTGCACTCCAGCATATTTATACCAGAGAAATGGAAACACTTGTTTGCACAAAACTATACATGAGTGTTCATAGCACTTTCATTCAAATTATCAACTGGAAGCAACTTTGCTGCTCTTCAGCATGTGGGTGATTAAACAAACTCTACAGCAAAAAGCTATTAAGTATTACTACATGAAATAATCTGAGTGGATTTCAGGGGCATTATGCTTAGTGTGGGGGGAAAAGCCAATTCCAAAGTACAATAAGATGTGTGTACAATAAGATGTTTGATTCACTTATACAATATTCTCTGAATAGTAAAACCATAGAGAGGGAGAACGGGTTAATGTTCAGAGGTCAGGGATGGAGAGAAGGGGTTTGAGTACAGAAATATAGAGATAGCACAGGCAGTCCTGTTGTGATACTGGAATGATTCTGTCCCTTGATTGTGCATGCAATTAAATTGCACAGAGCTATACACAGAAATGAATCAGGTTTTCAAATGATGAAAATGAGTTTGTAGCTCAGTGTTAGTTTCCTGGTTTCCATATTGTACTACAGTTATATGACATCATTGAGGGGAGTTGGAATTACCAGTTTTGTAATTTTCTGTAAATCTAAAACTATTTCAAAAGAAAATGTCAAAAAAAATTGGAATGAAAAAATGACAGAGAGAGAAGAAAACTTTTGCCAAAGACCTTTGAATTTTACAGGGTAAGTCCCTTCAGTAGTTGCTTTATCCACAATAACCTGCTGGCCCCTCCTCTCAGCATACCGTCTGGTGAGGTTTCCAGGCGAATGGAAGGTGCCTTAAACCAGGATGCATAGAAAAATTGCATAAATGAAAATTTCAAAAGAACACGGGCATGCCCTTTGCCCGGATGCACCAATTGTTAATATTTTTTTAACCTATTCATTTCATCAGGTGGTCTCTTATGTATCTACATAGCTGCTTATGAACAATTTGAGGGTAAGAAACATACATCATGCGTCTTTGCCCCTACATACTTGAGAGTTTATTTCTATCAGCTTCTGTAAATTTGACATTGATTCAATACTTTAATCCATTATTCCTATTCCACGTTTATCTGTTTCCCTAATAACGTCTAGTACAGAATCCAGCCTGGAATCAGTTACTGCCCTTAACTGTCATGTCTCTTACAGAAACCTAATAGAGTCTGTTAGATCCAGCTCTCCCCCATCCCTCATCGCTATGGAGTACCCCAAATTCTCATCTGTAAAGCGCGGTGGTAGTGACTGTCCACCCATGGGTGAAGCGTGAGTAAAGGCGCTCTAACAATCCAGGAGGGCCAAAGAGTGTTTCTTTTCTGCATCATTATTCCCGCAGACGCATTTAAACTTGTCAGGTGTGTTGGGGCAAAGAAAACCCGCTTATAATTTCACTTCCAACCTGGGGAAACAGCAGAGGACAGAGGAAACCAAGGGCGAGGGGGAGAAAAAAATTGGGAAGGAATCTAGCAGGCAAGAGGGAGAGGAAGCAGGGCCACAGATTCGCCTTTTCCTCCCTCCTTACCTGGAGCCCCGGCGGCCAATCCGCTGCGCCGTCGGGTCCCGGGGGCCAATGGCAACGCGGCGCGCCGCGCTCCCGGGGCTATAAGTGCGCGGGGCCCGGAAAGTGAAAGTGGTGCGGGAGCCGCGGGCGCTGCGGGCGCTGCCTGGGGCTGGAGCCGCCCGGGACGGGCGCCGCCAGGATGCTCAGGACTCCGGAGCCGCGATCGGAAGAGGCGGGAACGGCCGGCTGCAGCCCCGCGCCCGCGCCGCCCACCCAGTCCAAGCCGCTCACCTCGTTTCTCATCCAAGACATCCTGCGGGACGGCGCCGAGCGGCTGCCCCCTGCTCCGCCGCCCCCGCGCCAGCCGGAGCCGAGGCGCGACCCGGAGCTGGCGCCCGAGCCCGAGGGAGGAAGAGGCCTCGCCCGGGAGCCCGAGGGCGAGCTGGGCACCCGGCCCCGCACCGCGTCGGGGGACGCGGCAACACCGGAGACCCAGCCAGGTAAGCCGGCGGGGACGGGAGGCCGCGCTGGGGCGGGCCGGCCTGCAGGCTGTGCTGGCGGGAGGGCTGGGCTTCGCCGGACCTCCCCGAGCTCGGGCTGCAGGGATGCCGGGCTCAGCGTCTCTGCTGCCCCTTCAGCAAGGGCAGCGCAGGCTAACCTTGGCCGGCGCCGCGGTGTCTTGGGGTCCGGGATCAAAAGCGAGCGTGCTCCCGGCGACCCCAGTTCTGCAGCGACCCTGGAGAAAACCCCAACACCCCAACACCGGCTCCCTGAGCCACCGCTGTTCGCAGGCCCCACGGTACTCCTTGGCACTTACTATAACCAACATAAATTACGATAATCACGTATTAATATTAATAAATTGGGGTTCAGCCTTGCTTCTCGATCTCATGGGCAGTAAAACAGTCCATTTGAGAGTCTGCAGAAAACATAACATGGTTGGAAGCCTTTAGAGTAGATTTATTTTCTTTCCCATCACTTCTTATGGGACATTTACAGAAAAGGGGCTTAAAGCCAAAGAATAAACTTGCCCTCCGTCCGCACCGCCTCTCCTATCACACAAGCGCGCTCTTGCCACCGGATGGTAACACCGGATACCTTTGCGTTTCTCTTCAGCAGGTATCTTATTTCTGTCTTCACTGCCTCGGTTCTCCCACCTCTCAACACACGCGCACAGAATCCCTATTTAATTCTACTTGATATGGCAGGAAGTTCTACCACTAATCACCTCTAACTTTGGGTTCTTGATGACCATTAGAAACTAATACAAAATATACATATTGTCTCACGCCTTACTCGGGAGAGCACCTTAGTCATGTGAAAAAAGTGAAATGTATCCAAGATGACAGTGGGCTGTTTGTTCCTCACTGAAAAGATAAGGGTGGATTGAATTCTGTTCTCTTCCCTGGTAACATGTAACTTTTTCCTTCCCATCCCTGCTCCTTCCCTCTCCTTTCCAGATAGGCACTTTGAGACTTATCTATCAGACTGTGAAAACACTCCAGGCGCCCTCCCAAGCCTTCCCCAGGCCCCCAAGCCTCCACAGAAGCGCTCCCGAGCTGCCTTCTCCCACACTCAGGTCATTGAATTAGAGAGGAAGTTCAGCCACCAGAAGTACCTGTCAGCCCCTGAGAGGGCTCACCTGGCCAAGAACCTCAAGCTCACGGAAACACAAGTGAAAATATGGTTCCAGAACAGACGGTATAAGACCAAGCGAAAGCAGCTCACCTCGGACTTGGGAGACCTGGAGAAGCATTCCTCTTTGCCCGCACTGAAAGAGGAGGGCTTCTCCCGAGCGTCCCTCATCTCCATGTACAACAGCTACCCCTACTACCCCTACCTTTACTGCTTGGGGAGCTGGAGCCCAGCTTTCTGGTAATGCCAGCTCAGGTGTGATCAAAAACTGCCTCCCCCAGGTGGTGTCTCTGGAAGGCCTCGGGGCCAAGGTAAGAGAGAACTGGGGAGCAAGAAGCACACAGACCAAAACTGTTGGAAGTTTCCATGGAAATCCCAGATTCTTCACTGGTGGGCAGTGAAAGATCTGGGACCATGAGAAAGTTAATAGCTGAATAGTTCCCCAACTCATAATGTAGGTCATTTTTGCTTTTAGAGATCTGCTTGAAATGGGGTGGGACAAAGTCAAGGCTGCTTCCAGCACTTTTATGATTTTTGTATCCACATCATGAGCTGTCCACATGACTGCTGAGGATTCCCTACCCACAACTCCAGCCTCCTGTGTGACAGGGAATGGGCTCTACAAGAGCAAACCTGATGGGATAGGGGACCTATCCAGATGAGGAGGTCACCTACTGAACTGAAGTTCAAAAGCCTCTCGTTGCCCTTGGAGTATGATCAAGGTTTCGCTCCATCCCCCTAAGAACAGGGAAATGTAGGGGTCCTACAGAGAAACACATCAAGCAACAGCACGGATTGGAGTGGGATATGGAGATGAGTAGGAGGAGAGGAAAATATAAGCTTCTTTTTATTTCTTTTTAAATAGTACACCAATGTAAGTATTTACAGGGTGGCCCAAGTAGAACAAGATGCACTCACAGTGGTTTTAAGACAAGCTGTGTAAACAGAGCTCTGCTGCAAAGGGTGGGCCTGTGCCAGAAGAATCTCCACATGTCGTTGTCCTGGGCCTAAGGAGGAGTTTCTGTACTGATGCGGGAAAGAAAGGATCAGTGTATTTTTTTAATTATTATTAGAAAAGGTTGATAAGCTTCTTCTGGACCATTTTGCTCTGGGTCTGAGAATTTAGAATCAGAAGATTCCTGGAGTTCTCAGGCTATAATTCATATGACACCGTGACAGAGCACATAATTCTTTACTATAAGCTCCTTCCTTCCCTCTCTTTATTTTTTGTTCCTTTTTTACAGCAATCCCCCACCGAAGGGCTTTTTCACTCCAGACTTTCACTCCAGTCTGGCTGCCCCTAACATACACCTTCCTTATTTAGCCTGAGATCTGGTCTATTTTTTTCCCCCAATGCTTTATCTCTCTTAGATTAAAAAAAAGGGGGGGGGAGTTGATTCTGATTTGGCTTTTTTGACATGCATTATTCCTTTAAAAATATATACACATATAAATCCCAAATTCTATTTAAAGACTTGACAGCTCTAGAAGGTCACTGCTGTTTTTGTAGGACTTTGTGGTGACTCTGTTGTTACTGTTCAAAGCCTGACAAGCTTGTGGGGTCCCTGCAGGCAGAGGAAGTAAGAGGTATCAGAGAAGGACACAGGGCAGGCCGAAGGGTCAGGTCCTGGGGAGCTGTGTCATGAAACAGAGGGAGGGTTCATGTTCAGGGATGGCTGTAGAGGCAATCTGGATATAGAAAGCCCAGCTGAAAGAGCTGACGGCAGGAAGAGGCTAGGAAAAAGCAGTGTTCAAAATACAACATGATAATGGGTTCCATCATCAAACAGAGAAACTGTCCAAATTCTTCAGGGACTGCTTAATGCTTATTAAAAAATAGCATCCCCCAAAATGAGTCACCTGGTGACTTCAGAAACAGTAAGCAGAGGGCCAAGGAGAAATTTGACCACCGCTCTATTTTCATCTTTGTTAGCTCAGGTGGCCTGCTACTCGGGGAAGACATGGAATTCAAAGAGCCAGGTAATAATGATGTCCCATGAGGCCTGGAAATTCCTTCACCCCACTACTTAATTCTGATTAATAAGAAGTCTTTCAATTTCCTCCTATTAAAAGGGCCAATTTATTTTTGGGGGCAAAACTGCCAAAGCTGATAGAAAGTTGGCCCATTTTACCCCATTTTCTATCACTTGGGATCCACGCTGAAATATTATTCAACGCCAATTGCTGCTGACACATGCACAGGGTGGAGCTGCCCAAGCTGCTTTCTCCTTTTTCTGTGTCTTTTAAGGAAGCATTTGGCTCTCACTCTCTACTAAGTACCCTTGTTCTGCCAACTCCCTGAATTTTATTCTTTCAGCCTGCATTCTGCAAGTATGAGACATTTGACTGTGATGTATATTGTGTTGCAAAAACAAAAGCCTTTGTTTAAAATTCATTTGGTTTGTGACCCACCTTGCTCTTCCCCTGTTGGAACTAGTCACTCATCCATATCTGAGCTGGTAGAACACTTGAAGAGGTGGTGTGTGGGTGTCTGAAAGATGGAAGGGGGTGCTCTTGACCACTCCCCCAACAGCCTATTTCTGTTTTGATAAATTCATTTGGGTTCTCCATGTGCATAACAAACTCTGCCCCCATCTGCAACATAAAAGCCTGTGACTTGAAGTTTAGCAAAGGAACTCAACCAAACTTTATTTTTCTAAGTATTTTTGGCAATGTTTGAGTGTTTTTAAAATAAAGTGCTGTGTCTTTATTAGACATACCTATGTGTGATTTTCTGTTCCGTCAAGACTACAAGACTTTTAGCTCCTGTTCCCCTTCCCCAGCCTGTCTGACAAATCTATGGAGACCAGGAATCAAAAGCAGTAGCTTAGCAGCAGGGGACGTTCATTCTTCTCTAAACTGGTTCATTCTTCTCCTCCTGGTCAGTCACATGGAGGAAAAGAAATTTATTTTCAGTTTAACAATCACCTGCTCCAGTCCAGGCATACCTTTTGTTTAAATAAAGAACATCAACTACATTTCTTGAAGACCCTGCATAGAGCCTGGAGACCACAGCCTAGTTTTCTTAAATGCCCCCCTCACCTCCCACCACCCCACTTGACAGTGACTCCCCTGGCACCTGCTTTGCCCTGAAAATGCCACCTTCCTCCAGGGCAGATAGACCTCTTGCAAGCAACACCTTTGAATTGGAATCACAAGTATTGAAAATAGGTTTAAAATAAAATATAAAAATAACACATCCTTCATCTGTCTGCACTTAAACCTTCATGAAATCCCACAGCAGAGTGTTTCATGTCCCTGATTACCTCAGAGAATTGAAGGTTTTCTTACCCCTCCTTCAAGGAAATGGAAGCTTAAAGAGAAAGGTGCTTACTCTAGGTAAAACATATCATAATTTCAAAGTTTGCTCTAATCCTTTAAGTACATTGTACACACAGGTGGGGCCTCTCACGGCATGTTCGCATCATGAGATTTAACTCTTTGCACAAACGGCCAGCCCTGCCCCCCTCCCCTGGAAGGCCACCAGCTCTCAGATTACATAGGCTCTTGCAGTAAATTAACAGATGTGGAATTGTTAACCATTAAAAGTAACCAATCCGGGAAATTAAGCAAAAATCTCTTGTCTCTAAAGAAAGTTCTAGCTCCTCCTGTCCCTTTTCCAGTCTTCCTTCAATATCGCCCTCACCTCATCCCTGCCTTCCCCGGCAGCTCCCTGAGCACGCCACATGTTTGTGGTACTTGGAAATCCTTTCCAGTCTGTCTCTCAAGTTCCTTCAGGTACGGGTTTCTGGAGTCACTGTGCTTTTGTCACTGGTGGTCCCATTGGTCCCCTTTGGCCAATTTAGGTGGCCAGAGCTGCTGGAGGAGGAAATGAAACCCGGACCTTTACACCTGACAAAAATGTTCTCCTTCTAACGATGAAGCCAGTCGTTTTCTAGGGTGATATTAATAACCTGCATCTTAAAGCTGACCCCAGAGGGGAGCGTGGCCCTGAAGAGTTAGTCCCTTTACTGGGTCGCCCTGTGATGGAAGATTATTGACAGTGTGCTCAGGAGATGCTCCTTAGGGGGTGAGGAGGGCAGGGGTGAGGGGCAAGAGGACCCGGCCCTTCATGTAAGTGCAGCTGAGGCATCACCCAGTATTTTCAGGTTCTCCAAAGCCAGGGTATTGCAGATTCAAGGTACTGCAGATTGAGGAAGGGGGCGGACACTTGTGCCCCAGCACCAGCCACCTCCTGAAAGTGAGAGTAACCTTGAGAAATGCAGTACTTTTCTGGGGAAGGTGCTGGCCATCAAAGAACATAGCTGTGATTCATTGCACCCATATTCCCGGCTGCTGGGGATGGAGGGGGGCAGCCCCGCTGTGGAGGGGATTGGGTGAGGCCATGGGATTCACTTTAAACCACACCATCTTTTCCTAGGTCACTTTCAGGGCCACAACCACCATGATTCTTTGCAAGGAGGAAATCTGAGTGGAAAGGGGGAGACCAGACTAAGAGCACTGGGTTCTGCACTCAGACATCCAGACCACCCCCCACAGCCACAAGCAACATGTGACCAGAGCTTCTTTTTTGAAGCTGAGAGTTATCTGCTGCCCAAGAAAATGGGCAGGGGTGATTGGCCTGGGACATGACAAGCTCCTAGTTTAGCAGTAGACTTGGCCTTCATGCAAGCTTTCCACACAGACTACTCCTCAAAGGGCTTATCTAAGGTCTACAGGGAAAGAAGAATCTCAGTTTTTCCTACCTCTGCAAAGAATCCAGATGTGGCCTTGACTTAATCCCTTAATTCCTGAGCTTTCTCTGGGTCCCAGTTAGTGTGTAGGACAGATTTAGAGAGAGGTTGAGAGTAAGCATGTTGTGTGGCCTCTTCTGACATGTGGGCAGCAATGGGCACATCCCTTATTGGGGTGGTGATAGGTTGAGAGAAGGGATGGGACAGAGGAAGTCCCATTTTCACATTGAGGTCATTGTAGGATTGTTATATTTTGTTTGTTTTTTTTTCTAAGCCTAGAAACCCATGGTGCATTGGGAATAAATGCTGATTTTGCTCTCTTGAAGGTGAACACCCAATAGCATTTAGTCTCAACTACCAATTGTCTACACAGGATGCCCATTGGCCATGTGGGTGGAAGGACTGGTGCACTAAGGCCCTTACAAAATCATACTTGCCATTGATTGCTCTATACATTAATTGTACCATAATATCTGGAAGTAGGGACCAGGTACCTATAGTTTTTAAAAATTCTAATGTCCAAGTAATTGCCAAGCAATCACTTGCTTAGCTTCTTTTCAACTACTTTGTTCTTTAACCTCACAGGTGCCAGGAGAAGAGAGAGCTAGAGGAGCAAGCCAGAAAGGGAGGAGTTAGGGGTAGGTTGTGTGTTTTTGGGTCGCTTTTTACTTGCTTTTTTTCTTTACAGAGAACAGATGTTCCACTTTCCTTACTTTCTTCTCAAGTCTCCTGCTCTTGGAATTCCTGACATCATTGAAAGGTCCTCTGCAATCCATGACAGCACAGCTCATTCCCATTAACCCCTCACACAGAGCTGAAAGAGCCTGCAGTGCCCGGATATCAGGCACTGATATCAACCCAGGCCCATCAGACTGACACCACACACTTTGCCCCACAGAAGACAGAAAATTCCGTCCTCACTTTTGCTGGGGAATTTCATCTGCCCTGGGGCCACAGAATTTCATGGTCCTGGGAGAGCAACAGGTGGCATTGAACACCTATCCATCAGCATCACGCTTTCATGACAACTCATCTGGCGGCATCAAGCAGTGTCTTCACACTGACATAACATTTACACTTCCTTCTGCCAAATCGGTAATGTTAAGCTTTTTTTTTTTTAAGTGTGTATGCAGAGATGGGTAAGGTGGATAGTGGTTCACGGGGTGAGGGAAGGAATATGCCTGTGACAACACAGTTTTTGATAAAATTTGCAGGCAACAATGCAGAGTTGGCACCAGAACTCCAGCACAAAGCCAGAAAAGCTTAAACTTGATCTAAACAACATCTGAAAATGGGAGAGATGGAAATGTATTAGCTCTGCCCTCTTCTTTTACAGAGAAGAATGCGGAGAATATTCAGAACATGAACTCGGGGGAGGGAGAGATGTCATTTCTTGTGGAAAAGTTTGGAATCTCTCCCTGAATTCATGCTGAGAGCTTGTTTATACTCATACTTAGATCCTTGATGCTTTTTGTTGCCCTCTTTGAGGAAGTCTGCCTGAGGTTAGTATACTCAGGTTCTGTGTCTTGCATGGCGAGTGTGGAGTGGGTCCTGAGATTGCTTCAGGTGAAGGCTCACAGCGGGGTTTACTTAGCTTTATTAGATGGTCTACATCTTCCTCTTGCAACAGAAACCCGCGTCATGTGCCCATCAGCACAAGGGACCTCTGATTGAACTAGTGGAGAGACACTGACAAATGATACAGACTTTCTGTCCTTGCTCCCTTGGTGAAATGTACAAGCGGCAGGGTGAATTGATGGTGGAAATTTAGGACATGTATTCAGAGCTCTCAGTGTGATGACTCACACAAATGATCCCTCCGGATTTTAAATTTCCCTTATCTGTAAAAGGGCAGGTAAGATCCTCACATCAAGAAATTCCACTGGAAGAAAATCTTCACATAGAAAAGAGACAGAAGCAGTGACAGCTGGGTAAGGGAAGACACATGGGAGGTGTCAGTGGTGTAAAAGTCCCACAGCCTCATGTTTCTAGAACCTCAACTCCAGAAATGATGTTTAGACCTTGATATGAATTGTGTGCCGCATTCCTGGTTGTCTGTTTTTCCTCTGAGCCAGTTCTCCTGCATGAGAAGAGTGCAGACGCAGGAGGAAGGACAGCAGAGTGCAAATCCAGGGGGAGGGGAAAATGGGTAGTTTTCCACAGTCTGTGGAAGCATCTGGGTGCAGATGTGAGCTCACCACCCGTCTCGTTGGCTCCTGGTTGACCCCTGGATGGAGATACAACTGCATGTCCTAGAGATTAGGTTTTATTACAGAGACAGACTGGGGGCATGTCGACTTTGGCATCAGGAAGAAACAAAAGCTGGACTGGGATCTGAGGAAAGGTGTTCCCATCACAACCCAAATTGGTTTTATAAAAGCCTGTGCAGACACACACCGCCGAGTAGCAGGATGGGTTTTCACAAAAATAGAGCCAGCTTCCCACACAGAGAAACAACTCGCAAGAGAGTGAGGCACACACTATAGCAGGAGGCCATGGGAAAGAACTTACCAAAGCTCGTTGACCATAAACCCCTAAATACCAGAACTAATTTCATCTTGGCATCCACCAAAAGTGTGTTATATCCTGAGCAATGGAGCTAAGTGTCCCTCCCTTCCCTGCACTGAACAGAGAAGTATGACCCGGATCAAATCTGTCTGTTAAGTGAATAATGACTGTATGAATGAATGAATGAATGAATGAATGAATGAATGAATGAATGAATCCAGATCTCACCTGAAGTTTGGTCTTTAGCACCCAACTTTGAAGAAAACTGTAGCAAGCTCAGAAAAGCACATGTGGGATGATGCAGGGGTTTTGAGAAAGCCATATGACAAGAGTTAGTGAAACTAAGAAATATTTAACCTGAAAAAGGGAAACCAGGGCCAGGTGAGTCAAGGAGAGGATTAGATTTTTTTTCTCTTGTCCTGGGTGGAATCATCAAGGTGACATAGATTTTATTTTTTTTTTTTTAAATTTTTTTTTTTTTTTAATAGAGGCATG